TAGGGGGAAGCTGTTTTATTCTACAGATGCACTGATGGGCCCTGCTTTGTAGAATGTTCCAGAACGTCTCTTAACGGATAGGTCAAGGAGTGGTGTAGAAAATTCCAGAAACGATTAACATTCACAGGTAGCCAAATTCTAGATTCTAGAACATTTCTCGCGTCACTTTTCAAAAGGTCCTAAGTAACAAATGTAAACAAATCGAGCTAAGCGATACAAACTATTGCTCTTTTAACATGATGCAAAAACACCAGCCCAGTGGCAGGCGCGTAGGCAACATGTTATACCGTGACCGCGGGCCCAAAACAGCAAAATAAACGATTTGCGACCGGGACATGGCCCGAGACAGTTTGAAATGATCGGTACATGATTGTTACTTCAGTCATTCGGACTGCCTAACACGTTTAGAGCAACCGTACCAATGAGTAAATAAGGCACATTTATCCAATGACATTTATATAAGGTCTGGGCCAACAGGCAGCTTGCTGGTATTAAGCGAACCCCACACGTATCAATATATTGACGCGAAGGGGAATTATTGACAATAATATTGATGATGTGAATACAGAAATATTGTCAATACCGATGTATTGACGTCAATATTGAATGTATTGACAATACGATTATTGTCAATAAAAGCAATCGTGTAGGGTCCACTTTAGAAGCAAAAATGTTGTAAACATTGCTGAACATCTGCGAACAGATAGAAATACGTCACTGCCAACAGCTGTTTCGTGTAAAAAGATAAACATTGCAATAAAATACGAACACCACTAAACAATTGCACATTTCACTAACAACAATAACCCCTTTGGCCCAGACCTTATATAACCGTCATTGACATTTATCAACCTCTACCATAACGCTATTTGCGTACCGGGGGTTGCTATTCAGGTTGGGGAAATAGCAATCCGCACCTTGGGAAGTAGTGAGTTGATTAATTTAGCAACCCGGTAGCAACGCATCAGACGGTTGCTATTTTGAATAAACGCCAAAAGATTGTTTTGCCGGTGTGGAAAACGGTAATTTAAATTATGACTCTGATAGCAACGACCGGTGTGGAGAGGAGTGATTAAGCCAAAATGGAAACGCTGTGCGTAAGTAAAATAGTGCCGCAAATGGCAACGAGTGGTACGGTTGCTCTTATAGTCGTACGCAGTACCGTCGCGTAACCTCACTTTTACCTGAGCCCCAACTTTGAAAACGTGATATCTATCAATAATTGCATACAAATCGATTGCAAGATGTACATAACATTATAGTTTTACTAATATTTCCATTAAGATTTGTGATCGTTTTAAGAGCTGGTGCACTGGTAGATTGAGATTAGGGCAACGCCACTGGTGGTACGAAATAGCAAAATGAGTAATTTTTGTTTTGCTAGCGCCTGACCTTTTCATTTTATCCATACAGTGCTTTCGGAAAATTTGTTCATTAAATATCCTACAGCAACTTAGCTACTGAAAGAGTTCAGACAAACTATTGTTGGGTCATTTTTCTAGAAATTTCATAAAATGGCGCTTCGAGTTAGAAAGTCACTTTTTGTTTAATTATTCAATTGTGTAAACTTCTACAGTAAAACATTCGAACATCAACAGGTATTTATCATATTATCACTTATACTTGAATACGTGGTCCCTATTCACACTTTGACGGGGTGAATAGAAACAATGGCGCAGAACTAAATCAAAAACAAATTCGCTAAAAGAGTATTTGGATAGAACGGGAAAGAAAATTTTAACCTTCAAGAGAAACCTGCCAGGACCAGATTTTGTATATTCTTTTTTGCAAAGGCATAAGAAGGAGTTGTCATACAGGATGTACCAGAATATTAAGAGGAATCGGTCGGCTGTATCTCACAAAATCATCAACGACTTCTTCAACGGGTTATGTAAGGAACTCCTAGATGTACCACCTTCTAATGCTGTAAACTATGATGAAACGAACTTGTGTGATGACCCGGGAAAAAGGGAGGTTATAACATGGCTGCAAATATCCGGAACGGGTAATGAACAGTACAAAAGCGTCTGTATCGGTGATGTTTAGTGCTGCAGGAGATGGTACCATATCACCCCTATTCTGTATTTCGTTTCGAACGAAATTCTCATACAAAAAAATATTTTTTTGTATGAGAATTTCGTTCGAAACGAAATACAGAATAGGGGTGATTACCATAGAGGTAACTCTAAGACCAGAAAGTCCCGAAGAAACGTGCTCAACTTTTTGGCTCAGCTCTGGTACTATCTTCGGTCCCAAGCTAATCGTTGCATCCCTCGAAACATAAGAAAATCCACGACCCTTCATTTTATCTGTCAAACTTTCATAGAGAATCAAAACAAACATAGTGTAGTACTAGAATTCAAACTAGAATGGGAAACGTTAATCGTTTGCTTGGGGCCAATAGGCTAGTCAAGTAGTGAGCCAATTTCAAATCGATAGTTTCGTATTGATTGTTGATACTACTGTCTGTATATGCCCAAGTGGTTTAGTGCTAGCATTATCGATTTCATCAGTGTTGGCAATAAAACTGCTGCGTTCAGTTCCAATCTTGGCAGGGACACTTGTTCCACCCTGGTTTTGGCTGCCAAAAGATTCACAATAAGGTCCCCAGCTTCATTCCTTCCTCTTGCATACACCACCGCTGCGTACACCAGTTCCGACTATAGATACTATAGATTCCATAGATAAGCGGAGGCACAAAAAGTTGTTTTGGCAACCATGAAAAATAAATGATCTTACTGGCATCCGTGAAAAAAGTTCATGCCATCATAGAGCTCTTCGTTGTGGTGTTTTGTTTTGTTTCGTGCGCAAAATTTCAAAATGAAGTGCAAAGCAAATCTTTGCAACAATGAACCGAGGAATGGGTTACTTTATCTTTTGTTCTTCCGTTGACCACGAAATAAATCGGAATGTAGAGTGTGGAAAGCGTTTTGTGCTCATTATATTACAATACTTCTCCCTCAAACAACACCATGATGACGTCATGCTCGTTTGGCTACACTAACTGACAGTTCGTTTGGCTACATTATACTTTGCCTCCGCTTATCTATGGAATCTATAGTATCTATTGGCAAATCAAATTTGGCACTCGTGGAGAATAGAAGAACTATGAAAGTGATGATGGTTTCAAAATTTTCCACGGCGAGGTATACGAATTCAATCTTAAAATGCTGCTTTATTTAATTCTGGTTGCTGCAACAGTGGTAGAAAAGCTAAAATCTATGTAAACACCTAAAAATCTGAAAAGATATTATTTTTTCTATATTATATGTCTTTTGAGTAGTCCTACTAACGTAGCATTAACCAGATTAAAAGAAGATGCTTCATTTGCAAAATAAAAGCATTTTAAGATTGCACTCGTATACCTCACCGTGTAAAATTTGGAAACCATCATCACACTCATAGTTCATCTATTCTCCACGAGTGCCAACTTTGATTTGCCAATAGTTCCGACGCATCCGAAAACCCATGTAACTCGATCTTTCCATTGTAGTTGGGTGCAAATCGAGGAATGCGTATCTGCTCCACCTGGTGTAGTGTTTCCTTGATCTCAATCCACGCTGGTTCGACTGTTGGAGGTAACCGATCGTCCCACGAGAGATCGCATAGCCATAGCTGCTGGAATAAAATCTTGATCTTGACGGTCACGGGTGGCAACCATCCAAAAGGATCGAACAACTTGCAGGAATCCGAAAGTAATTGTCGCTTGGTGTTCACGCTGTTCAAAATGAGGCTAACCTTGAACGAGAATGAGTCCTCAATGGGTAGCCACTGAATGCCGAGTGCCTTGACTACGTTTGGTTGCTCTGTTAGCTTCACATCGACCGGTGCTTGATCGTCCTCCGACGCTTCCTGTAGTAGTTCCGAGCATTTCGTGGTCCATTTCCGCAGGTGGAAACCAGCGGACTCCAATATCACCCCAACCTGCTCCTTCAGTTTCCTTGCTAGCTGAACGCTCTGCTCACCTGAAAAGAAAATCATCGACGTAGGTGTCGATTTCAATCCTCTGAGCGGCTTCTGGGTACACTTGATTGGACTCGCGGGCTGCCTGCTTCATGGCTTCGATTGCTAAGTACGGAGCGCACTTGGTTCCGTAAGTCACGGTGCACAATCGATAGTGTTTGATTGCTTGATCCTCAGCTTCACGAAACACGATCCTCAGGTAGTCACAATCCGCCGAGTGTACCATTACCTGGCGATACATCTTCTCTACGCTTACTGAAAACGCCACCGGGTGGGTTAGGAAACGTAGAAACACCGAGAAAAGATCCTGGTTGACGTTGGGTCCCGCCAGGAGTCTGTCATTGAGCGACACGCCGGTCGACGACGACGCACGAGGCGTCGAAGACCACCCTAAGTTTCTTAGTCGTGCTCTCGGTCTTGACAACGGCATGGTGTGGAAGGTAAAAACACTTGCTAGTCTCTACTTCCAGTTCACTTGCTGGTATTTTCTCCATGTGTCCCAATGCCAGGTATTGAGAAACTCCGAGTACAGCTTATGAAAATCCTTGTCCTGCCGAAAGCGTCTCTCCATTGATCGCAATCGACTGATGGCCGTAGTGAGAGACTCACCCAGCGCTTGCTTCGAATCGTTGAACGGTAATTGCTTGATAAAGCGTCAATTTTCGTCCCGTGTGAGAGTATACCTAAAGAGCTCAGTGACTGCTTGTTCAGAAGGGGTAAACTGTGGTGGCTTCGGAACCTCCTCCTGCTCCCAAAACATCCGCAAGATGCGGTTAACTTCTACCTCTGCATGAAGATTGATGATCGAAACGTTGGCTTGAATACTCGCCGGGTAGATGGCTTGATTCCCCGACACAATCGCCGTTGTCCTTGACTTACCCTGAAAGGCCTTGTGCAGCATGGACAGTGATGTTTCAGTGGAGACCTGGCCCTATGTGTTTCTATTCGCCCCATTTTACGGTAATCCAACACCCCACGAACGATTCACCGTCCAAGGATTTCGGATAACATTCGAATAAGCGAATCGCATCACCATCGTTTTCAAGAAACATCACTTCTTTGATTTGTATTTCTTTCCATTTCTTCACTATGCTAAATATACTTGTTTACTTTCTCTTTTCTCGTAAAAAAAGATATTCTAATAAATTCTGAACCATCATACTACTATTATACGTTAGCTTTTTAGACTTTTTGTTTTTCTTTATACAGTTTCGCGTGTATACTTCCTATGCGGAGTTTGTATTGTTACTGTTATTTTAGCAATTCGAGCAAGAATTCGCTGCACACATCATCGTCGACCACATTTGCCCCCGTTTAGACTTTCGAACGAATGGTGTTCTCTTCTATTGTTTTGTCGTTTGGTTTTTGGTAAATTGCTTTCTCCATTTCCCTTCTTGCTCACTGAAAAATGCGGCTCTCATTCGCGCTAATCACTGACTTCATCTACGACACAAAAGCTTTGGAATCCTCTCCTGGACACTATTTAAAAAAAAATTATTCGCTTCATCACAACAGAAAGAGTACTTGATATTTTTAAAAAAAAAAAGAATGGGCTACACGAAAAAAACCACTAATAAAAAACGAAAAAAAAAATCCTAAATAAACCAGCAGGTGGCGCGCAAATGAAGAACAGGAAATAAATTAATACTCTTGAATAGTTTGTTCCTTTCCCTCGCGACCCCCATCCCATCCATCGCTCCTGCTCCTCATTCTCTTCATTGCTACAGATACTTCTTCCCCAGGCTGGACTTGAGAAGCCGCGATTTGCTGGGATCGATTTTGCATTTCAACTGCTGGATGAGATCATAGATTTTCAACGAGGGTCCCACCTTCATGTTCAGCAGGGTGATGATGTCATCCTTGCTGAGCTGCAGGAGCCGCTTGCCGTCGATGCCATTCGCCACGAACGGTTCGCAGTGCAGCGTGCAATCGTTGGCCGTCAGAAACATGGCCACGTCCTTCACGTCCCAACTGTCCGGATTGATCTGACCGTTTCCGGGCTCGGGCGAACTACTCCCGTTGTCATTGATCAGCCTTGGAATGATTTTCTCCATCTCGATGTCGGTGATTTCCGACGGTGCCGACGAGGGATTTCCGGTAGCACTATTCGATTCGCCATCTTCGTCTTCCGTTTTGAGTTCACCCATGTCGTCATCGCCGACGCCGATGCTTTCGGTGGACTGGTCGAAGATTGGTCCCAGCATCGGATCGTGCGTCGGTTCGTGTTTAATCGACAGGAGCGATGAACTTGAACTTCCGCCGGTGGTGGTGCCACTGCCACTGTGCGACGATTCCAACGAAACCGCCGTCGTGTTGGCGTATTGAATTTGGTCCAAGTTACTCTGCAGCTGGGCTATCGAGTAGGGGATGGTGGTCGGAGCGGTACTCAGAAGCTTTTGCTGTTCAAACTGTTCCTGCTCTTTCTTGACGGAGGCTGTGCGGGTCGTGGGAACGGGGTGCACTGAAAATGTAAATGCAATTTAAAAAAAACTTTCCTAACTTTACCTGACGCTCAGAAAACTTACTATCGCCACTTGGAGTCATCTCAAACTTCATCACTTTTTTCTTCCGTTTACCTTTCTTGGTGATTTTGGGGGAAACTTTCTGCGCCGGCGGAATCTTCGGCAGTACGCGGGGTCCTTCCAGCTTGTGGCCAACCAGCACGCACCAACCGATCGGGTAGATGTCCGGACTTTCGCTATCCAACCACTGATCGTACTCGTCGTCCCAGCCGTCAAAATGCACCTTCAGGAGACGGCCGACGACGCGGGAAATCGTCGCCACGCAGATCAGTCTTGGGTCCATCAGGTCGGCCGATTCCAGCTTCATTCCGATCTGGTGTTGTTGGGCGAAAGGAAAGTGGCAATGTTTAATTAAGTGAACATTTGTGGGGTTTTTTAATAAAATAAATTAGTTTCCTTAGCTCATCTTGAACTTGAAATGCTAGCGAGCTGTGTAACAAGGCTCTAGGTAGTGAGCAAGGGGTTTCTTCCATACTCCACTGTCTTATATCAATTGATAGTTGACGATGTGGTTCGTTTGAGAAACTGGCTCTTCAAACGATGGGCATGAGAAAATTCGTTTTCGCAGAATTGATTGAATGGTTGTATTAGTTCATCTTCAATCGAATGATATGAAAATTAACAGCACTGATTCTACGGATATGCTGATTCAAAGTGTTTTTATGTTATTTCATACGCGAAGTTTGCGATTTTCAGAGTTGGTTGGAAATGCTATCTATCATGAAGCTTTAGTGGGATAATATATCAGCTGGAGAATGGTCTTAGAAGAGGGTAGGTAGATAGTTCCGTTAGAGTACGGCAGTATGAAAATTGAATAGAAGTTGAAAATGAGCGAAGGGCCATTAATGCGACAGTACAAAGTCAAACGCACACTTCCTTGCCTGTAGATTTGAAGACATGCTTCAAATCTCCGCGTACATCGTACGGGTTAGGCAAAGAAGTGGGCGTTTGACTTTGTACTGTCGCATTAATGACCCTTCTCTTATTTTCAACTTCTATTCAATTTTCATACTGCCGTACTCTAACGGAACTATCTACCTACCCTCTTCTAAGACCATTCTCTAGCTAATAAATTATCATACTAAAACTTCATGTTAGATAGCATTTCCAACCAACTATATTCTGATGATATTTTTTAGAGAATTCAGAGAAGCGTTCCAAGTGAATTTCTAGAATAATTCCATAAGAGTTTCGAGAGGAAGAAGGTATGCGAATGCTGAGGAGAACTGAAAGAGAATTTTCATGAGAAATCTCCGTTGAATTGGGAATAAACTATTTTGAGGTCCAAAATGTTCGAGAAGTTAATGAAACTGCCTTGAAGTTCTTTTGTAGTTTGAGAAACTAGCCTAATGATCACAATGCTTCTCAACAAATTTTTAAAACTATCTCGGACTTTCTAAAGTTTCCGCGATCTTCCTAACCATCATCTCTAAAGTTTTAACAATTATCTGAAGTTCTCGAAACTTTTTAAAAATTTATGTAATTTCTCTAATGTTAACGCAGCTGCTCTGAGGTTCTCTGTTCTTTCCTGAAATTTCGAAACTTCTTTAAATTTTTTGCAGTTCTCATGAAACTTGCTGTACCTGTAGCGTTTCCTTAATCTCAATCATCCTGTGCACCAACTCTCAAAACATAAACAATTATCAAAATATTGCTTGCAATGGAATAGCTATCGAGTTGAATATGGCATTAAATCTGGTTTTGAAAGTTGGTGCACAGGTGAAAAGTGAGGTTACGGTACGCCACTGTGCTGTACTGCCCTGAATTTATTTGAACTGTTCTAAAAATGATTAAAAGTTTTTTGAGAATCTGGGAGCTTCTTCAAATTTCCCGCTAATTTTCTGTAACTATTATTATTATTATTTATCTTTATTAGGGAGGCTTTCAGCCTTGGGCTGGTTCGCCTCCAATTTCTGTAACTAATGGAAATGCACTCCCTCTGAAATTCCCCATAGTTCTGGAGTTTACTAAACTTCTTTCAGGGGCTCATAGCCTAGTCAGTAAAGGCACGGCATTACCAAGCCTGAGGCGACGGGTTCGATTCCGGTCGAGGGAATCTTTCGGGTTGCCTGGGCATAGAGTATCATTGTGCTTGCCACACAATATAAAAATTCATGCATCTGGGGCAACACCGGCGTAGTGGTTAACATCCATACCTCTCACGCCAAAGTCACGAGTTCAAATCTCACCCCCGAACAAGTCACGAACGACCCAAGAGTGTGTGACTATAATAAAAAAAAATCATGTATCGATAATTGGCATCGAAAGCTCTCAATTCATAACTGTGGAAAGTCATTTAGAACACTAAGTTGAGAGCACGCAATAAGCTGATATGCGATAAGAAATAAGCTTGAAATCCGAAGAAGAAGAAGAAATTTCTTCGAAATGCTTCCGCATTTTGCTAGTGTTCATGAAATTTCATGAAGTTCCCTTAAGTTTCATAGACTCCTATGTAGTCTGGAAATGTTTCTGAAGATGACCGGACATTAGCCATAATTTTGTTGTATTGGATTTTTTGAATCCAATTGCAATGCAGTACCCGTTATATGTATTTTGTCAACAAGCACGAAAATGTAGTTTTGCCAAAAACGAACGGTTTTATTTTGAAATTTCTATTATGATTCCGATGATTTTCGACCACCGAGAAGTAAAGAGGAATCATCTTCATGACTAAGGCTTTAATAATTTAAATTTTATCAAAAATTGTGACCATGGAGCGAAAATACATAAACTTCAAAATCCGTTTAATCGAACCCCGTCCGAAAATCGAACGGCTTTGTGGTTTTGTTGCCAAAATCGAACCATGGCAAGTCGAACGGGTACTGTTCTCAAAAATATAGAAGAAAAATGCAATGGAAATGCACAAATCATTGCTTGCTTTGAGTTGACTCCTTCTTTATACTTTAAGTTGTTCTTTAACGGATACATGCTTTTTAAAATTCTATCATAAATACTCATAAATCATGTTGCTCTTGGACAGGGTTGCTTCCACTCACTTGCTATAAAAAAAAAATGAATTTTGAAAACATTAGATGTTATAGGATGGCCGACATTACATCCATTTCCCCTAATTTGGGCCCATACATAAATTCAGCAATCGACTAAATTTTCAATAGCGACCAAAAATATCGGCGGCCATCTAGATAAAATTGATAGATAGCAGATTTTTAGCGATGGGCCCAATCTTAGATCCATTTCTCCTAGTAAAATTTGTACTTGTTAGAAACAAGAAGAGCTTTGAAAGGCAAGAGGTTGACACATAAAACCTGTAAATTTCGCTTTTAGAGTGTCACAATCAGCGATTTTATGATTCGTGAGCGTTCACTCAGATAGAGCGCTCGCGAATCGTAAAATCACTCATTGGGACTATTTGCAAGCAAATTTGACAGGTTTTATGTGTTCATGCTCTTCTTGTATCTAACATGTACAAAATATCATTATAGGGGAAATGTAAAGGGTGATACGGTCAAAATTAGGTCAATATCAACTTGACGTATTTCTTTCAATTTTGCATTTAAAAAACCTGAACACCCCTCATTTTGAAGGTGTGTGTGTGTAGAATGTTGCTCCTATTTTGATTTTGGAATTCACTCTTCAGTTGTCAAAATGCCGTCCAAGCAAGAAGAGCAGCGTATCAAAATTTTGCTCACGCATCGCGAAAATACGAGCTACTCGCACGCAAAGTTGGCAAAATCGCTAAAAGTTGCCAAATCAACCGTTACAAATGTAATTAAAGTGTTTGGGGAACGTTTGTCGACAGCCAGGAAGTCTGGATCGGGGGGAAATCGAAAACCGGAAGCCGCTGAGACGACAAAGAGAGTTGCCGGTAGTTTCAAGCGAAACCCTAACCTCTCTCTCCGAGATGCCGCAAATAAGCTGGGTGTATCGTCTACAACCGTGCATCGAGCCAAAAAACGAGCCGGACTATCGACTTACAAGAAGGTAATGACTCCAAATCGCGATGATAAACAAAATAAGACGGCCAAAGCGCGATCCCGGAGGCTGTACACGGCGATGCTGACGAAGTTTGACTGCGTGGTAATGGACGACGAAGCCTACGTCAAAGCCGACTACAAGCAGCTTCCGGGACAGGAGTTTTATACAGCAAAAGGAAGGGGAAAGGTAGCAGATGTTTTCAAGCACATGAAACTGTCAAAGTTCGCAAAGAAATATCTGGTTTGGCAAGCCATCTGTACCTGTGGCTTGAAAAGCAGCATTTTCATAGCTTCCGGGACTGTCAACCAAGAAATTTACGTGAAAGAGTGTTTGAATAAACGTCTGCTGCCTTTCCCGAAGAAACACGGTTGTTCCGTACTGTTTTGGCCGGATTTGGCATCTTGGCATTACGGTAAAAAGGCCATGGAGTGGTACGCCGCCAACAACGTGCAGGTGGTTCCCAAGGACAAGAACCCTCCCAACACGCCAGAGCTCCGCCCAATTGAGAAATACTGCGCTATTGTCAAGCGGAACCTAAAGAAGACCAAAAAAACTGCTAAGGGCGAGCAGCAGTTCAAGGCAAACTGGCTTTCTGCGGCGAAGAAGGTGGACAAGGTGGCTGTACAAAATCTGATGGCAGGGGTCAAGCGTAAGGCCCGGCAATGCGGATTTGGAAAAGCGGAAGCCTAACTGAATATTTTTCCTGAATTTTATACTAATTGAACTTGAAAAAGAAATTTAATTTGATTTTTTAAATAAACGATTTCACCGATTTACACGCGTTTTCCCTTGACCAAATTTTGACCGTATCAGCCTTTATGTAATGTCGGGCGCTAAATGCCCCTAATTTGGGTCCATAAATAAATTCAGCAATCGACTAAATTTTCAATAGCAACCAAAAATATCCATTAGTACCGTCCCAATGACGCGTTAATCTAGATACAATTTATAAATAGCAGATTTTTAGCGATGGGCCCAATCTTAGATCCATAGGCCAAAATTAGAGACATTTCCCCTAACATCTAATGATTTCAAAATTTCGAAAATCACTTTTTATTGCAAGTGAGTGGAAGCGCAAGTCTGCTCTTGGAGTTGATTCCTTCTTTGTATCTTGAACTGTTCTTTGACAAATAAAAGCATTTGAAAATTCCATCGGAAAATTCTCAAAAGTAACATCTTTCTTGGATTTCCCGCGTTACTTTTCAAATAGACCAATGTAACATATCCACCATTTTGAGAAAATCGAAGTTGAAGTTCGACGGATTATTATTTTAACTGTTTAGAAACAATACATTTTGCAATACTATTTTTAATGTAGTCAGTGAATAATAACGTTGAAAATTTAGTAGAAACGATAAAATCACAATTTTACTTAGA